CATCAAAAACTAACACTAAAGTTTCTTTTTATGAGACTTCACCTGAGAGTAACATTGGAGTTAAAATAACATTCAACGTTGGCTTTCTGAATTTAAAAAAACTGAAAAAGCACCTTGTATAGACGATCGTTGTCCTATTCCTAAAACCATATCAAAATACCTTCATTCAACTGATTAATCATTTTCTTCTTTAAATTCTTTCATAAAGCCATGAAGTAATCAATTGCACATTTTGTATAATTTTATCTATTGGCTTCAAAAGCAATAATCCCGAAGCATTTATCATTAAATACTGACAGATGATAGAATTAAATCATATTAAAGAAACTACTGGGGGCAGTTATTGTAGAATAATGTAGTTTTTTCCTGCTGACAAAGTTCCCACTCTAAATACAAAAGGACATACTAATGCGCCTTCCTTTAAAGTAGTTTCCTGGAGAAAGTCTCTGCTGCCATCTGGTGTTCAATGAAAGAACTGACAGAAACACAGGCACAAGTCCCTAGGCTTTGAGAAACTGATGTCTCCTACGATTTTAAACCCGCTGAGTTTTTCATCAAAGGCGAATTGATAAATATCAGGAAGAGGATGCTTAAAATTCTGTGTACTACAGATGTAGGAAATGGCACCCTTGAAGTTGGATTTTTTTTAACTTGGGGCTCAGTACGTAAACAAAATTATCTTTAATAATCAACTTTTAACATATATTTAATATAGTGCCTTTAAAGGTGGCTTCTCAAAGCGCTGTACAGACCGATGACAACAATAAAATAAAAATATGACACATGCACAATGAGAAGGGTCAGTAGATGGGGGTACCAAATACAGTAGGAACCGAAGGGTAAAGAACAGATCCAGTTAAGTAAAAGCTCTTTGAAAGAAAGTTTTGAGTCTAATTTAAAGGAGTTTAGAGAAGGTGACTCTCCGATATCCCTGGGGATAGAGTTCCTGAACTTTGGGGCATAACAGAAGAAGGCCCTATAACACCCGTTAGAGTGCAGACAGGCTTGGAGGGCAGATAGGAGACCAGAATTAGAAGAGTGAAGGTTGTGAGGTGGGGAGTGGGACAACAGTAGCTCAGACTACTCACGTACTAAGGTGCCAAGCCATGCAGAGCCTTATAGGTGAGCGTGAAAATTCTGAAGTCGAAACGAAACTTGATAGGAAGCTAGTGCAAGTGTAGTGGAGCTAATTTGGGCATGGTCACACAAGGACCCCAGGATAGGAGGGATGTGATCACGTGCACTAGACCTGGTCAGGATTCTGGCTGCAGAATTTTGGACATACTGGAGTTTGTTCAATGTGGATTTAGAAACCCCAGCGAGCAGAGCATAACAGTAATCGGCTCAGGAGAAGACAAATGTGTTGATCAGCTTTTCAGCCACAGTTAGCGATAACTTAGGAGGTCAAAGAAAGATGTTTTGACAATATGTTGCACATGTGGGTCGAATGTCAAGCCTGCATCAAATATCACCCCCAAGTTTTTCAAAAATGAAGTTCAAGCACAGTGCCATTCACAAAAAGAGTTACAGCGTTGGCTTTATAAAGTTGAAGGGGAGGGGGGATGGCAATAAACATGACTTCAGCTTTGTCACAGTTTAGACATTTTGAGTCATCCATTATTTTATGTCAGAAATGCAATCAGAATAGAGACAGCCACATCAGTGTCGGGTTTGGTGCAGATGTAGATTTGAGTATTGTCAGCATAAAAATTATAGTCGAGGCCATGTGATCTGAAGAGCTGACCAAGTGGAAACATGTAAATGCAGAAAAGTAAAGGGGCCTAGTATCAAGCCCTGAGGAACACCAGACTTGACGAGTCCAATTTCAGACCTTAATCAGCCAAGAGAGACAGAGTGACAGCAATCAGTGAGGTAGGACTTGAACCATGTGGAAAATGTCAGAAATTCCATTCTATAATTTTTGTAAGAAAGGGCAAGTTGGAGATGGAGCGAAAATTGTTTAGATTGCCCAGAGCCATGTTAGGCTTTTTTGGCACAGGGGTAATGTCAGCAGTTTTGAGGGCCGTTGTTGCAACACCAGTGCTAAAGGACTCATTTATATTATTGAGGACAATGGGGCAGAGTGAAGTGAATCAGGACTGAACTAAAAAGGTGTGAAGAGGATCTAATATATAGGTGGTGGGTTTCATATGTGAAACCAATTTACTGACAGATGCAGAGTCAAGAAGAGAGAAGGAAACCAGTAAAGTTAGGCAAGCAGGAAAGAGGTGTGGAGGTGCCATGCGTTGCGGAAAGAACGTGATGCCGGATGTTTTCTGTCTTGGAGCTAAAGAAATCTAAACATTGCAAAGTTGCAATGAGGCAGGTAATGTGGTGGAGCAGTCTGTCGATAGTGGAGAAGAGGTGTCTGAGGTTGTTATGGTAATTTTCAATGTGAGAGACAGGTGGATCTAGCAGACTCTTTTGTATCCTTATATTCAGATATGTAATCTTTCCAAGCCTGGTAATGTACGTTTAGTCCAGAAAGACGCAACCTATGTTCCAAGTTTTCAGGAAACTGCCTTCACTGATTGCAGATGGTCGGTGTACCAGGGAGCAGAGCGAGAAAAAGAGATGGTATCATATTATCAGGTACTACTGCTATTAATACTTTTCTTTACAGTACCTCAAAGGAACTTACCATACAAAATCAAAGCAAAAAAAAAAGATTAAATACAAACTATGACAATAAGCAGACAAATGAAGGCAGGATTTAATACAGCTAAAAGAATTACATTATCTTGTGTGTGTACTCTACAGCTTGATCTCCCAAAGTTCACAGCTTATTTTGGTAAAAAAAAAGTTCTTCCATCTTCTAAGATTTAAGCCATATGACAAGACAAATAATGCTTGATAAATGTTAGGCTTTGGGCAAACAAAGTTGAGCATCATCAACATAGAAATGCAAATGAATACCATACCTAAGAAGAATGTAACTCAATGGAAATCCATAGATACGAAAAAGAATACAACCAAAAATAGATCCCAATGATACATCAAATACAACTATATTGAGGAAGGACCGATCAGTTTGAATAACCTGCTATAAAAACATTACACAGATTGTATAAAAAACACCCAATAGACTTCAAATGGTGATATTAACATACAAAGCTTTTCATGATTTGAGGTCCTTGACATTCTCTGGGAGCTACTTATTCATGGTCCGGTATGTTCTCTCGAAACTCTGCAAACCCTGATCCTCCGATCGTTCACCTTAAAAGAGCCGGAGGAAGAAAGACCCAGAGGACTTCTTCGGAATAAACAGTAAAACACAACACGAAGGACACGAGTGGAAGCTACATGGTGGTGCATTTGAAACGGAGAACAGGAGGCACTTCTTTACCCAAAGGCTTTTGGCAGTAAGGAACAAACCACCCAACCCCAGGTTTTGCAGCCAATACTCTTGACTTCCTTCAAGAAAAGGTTAGATGCAATCCTCTGATCAGTTATTGTACACACTTCACATTACCAACTGGTCTCCTCTCCCTTCTTTGTGTTCTCGTGTTGTGTTCCTAGTTATGCAATACGTCAGAAAGGCTGAAAGTGAGTACCTTTTAAGGGTCAAGCTGAAAAAATGATTTAAACACTCAAAGAATAATTTATAATAAGGGACTATTTCAGACCTTAATGATTTATGGATGACGAATATGAAAACGGGGCACAGAATTCCATAATGGAAGCAAAGCAAGACAGTATAATATATAACATTACTTTATTAACCCTTTACAATTTCTTGCATTAGGAATTATCTTTTTGCATACCCCAGCTTACTCTCCATGAGACACACAGACACACAGATAGGGAGAGAGAGATGAGTATGTATGAGAGAGAGATGAGAGAGTATGGACGTAACCTAAGAAACATGGCACTTTTAATTTGAATGATTTCAGATACATCATGAGGAGAGGCTACATGGAACTCTGCATAATCACATGCTCTAATCTTGGGAGTACATGAACTATGAAAATAAGACTCACAAGACAATCTAATTATTTTAGATTGAAAAAAACAAAATGAAAATCAGTCAGGTCTTTTGGGTGGTGTTATAAATTGCATTTAAGGAATGATGACATATGGAGAATATAGGGTTCCACAATTACTACTCTACCAACTTCCCAAATCGTTGTCCTAGCAACCAGTTAGTGTACTTGTACAGTATTATTGGTGTTACCTATAAATGAACAGATAGATAAGCACGCATCTATACATTTTTGAATTTATATCCACCAGATTGCCTGCAACAAAGCTGGTTATACCAACTTTAGCTTTTGTGAAACAAGTTGTAAAGCATTTTGCTGTTCATAGTATGAACAGCAAAATGCTTTTCTATTAAGAAAACAATTGCAGACAATAAGACACATGTAGTGTTATGTTCAAGTTGAAGTCTATGAGGTTCATACGCTTACAGTACCTGCCATTGACAACGTATCTATAGTTTATCATCATTTAAAATTTACAGTGCTGCTTATTACACACAGCTTTGGAGATTGTCTTCAGCATAAATTACTGGTGTACTTAACTATACCAGCCCAGAGAAGCTTCAGATTTTTACTCATGAATAAATGAATAAAAATGAAATTAAAACAAAACTGGTTTCCAGATGAAGTGACTGGTTTGTAGTGATGAACAGAAGGAAGACACGAGAGCAAATCTGCCTATAGTCCAAGGCAGTGTGACAAGTCCCACTTTAATTACATACCTCTAAGGCAAGCAGACACGCTCACGAGTTTAATTTTTAAAATGTAATTCTCTTTTTATGCTGAAAATGGCATTTTAAAATGCAAAAAAGACTAGGTTTTCAATACCAGTAGCCTTTATCAAAATGTTGCCAAAACACTAAGTCTTCTACAAGGGAAACTATAAGAAAAACACAGTTTTTAAAAAGATTGAATTCAAAGAAATTTGAATTTTAACAACTTCAAATTTAAGTGCCCTCTTACTTACGATGTATTAGACACCCAAAACACACCCCATGATAAAAAAAAACATTAACTTACTGTGCTATGGAAAACAACACTGTGACCATTCCCCAGGCTCTCTATATGTGTTGCAAGGTTCAAGCAAATAGCCCTGTGCCGTATAGCATCCATCGTCTGTGCATCAAAGAAATCATGTGGCCTTGCTGAAAAAGAAAAACATAAAAGGGGTAAACCTGGGGAAAAAAAGCAAGACAAACCTTAAAGCACAAAAGTGTTAAAAAACTCACCGCAAAGAATCTTGAGGAAATAATGCAAGTCTGCTCTAAGGTGGACTCATTTGATAGCTACTGTACTTACTGCTAGCAAAATAAGGCAGTCAGACACCCTGCAACCAGTAATGGTTCAAAGAGACCTTTCTGTGTGGAATATGTCTTGAAAAACTACTGATATATGAAACAGCTACAAATATTTGCTTCCTGGATTTTTTTTTAAAACTACCCCAGGTATAATTCATTTTGACCATAAGATGTATGTAAATGGTAACCGCTAGCTGGACACAAACAATTAGTCTAACTTTCAAACTACTAAACTGAAAATCACAACTTAACCCCCTCCTTTTTTAGTATCCGACACTCCCTATGATCCTTCAAGAAAAAGATGGACAAATTCATTCAATCAATAAGCTACTAGCAACCATATAAGGAAGACAGACCTTAAAGTGACGGGTCAATGAAGCATGCACAAGTTAACTGTTCCATTTATTACGCTTGTCTAAGAATGGATAAGTACGAGTGGTCCTTCATTTGATAAATGGAATGCTGACACTGGAAAAACTTTTTTTTAAAGGTAATGCTCTAAAATATGCAAGTGTATTCTTTCCTTTCTAAAAAGTAAAGTTCAAATATCTTGTACAAGTACATATGCAGTGTTTACCATTCACACCCGAAGAAGGCTCTACAGCCGAAATGTTATATTGGCTTCATTACCCTGTTCTCCCCCCCACTGAGAGCTGATGTGTGGTGAGCGTTCTGGCGCACTATGGCTGCTGTTGCATCATCCGGGTGGGGCTGCACATTGGTGGTGGTGGAGGGGAGTCCCCATTACCTTTAAAGCGCTTTGAGTGGAGTGTCCAGAAAAGTGCTATATAAGTGTAAGCAATTATTATTATTATTATTATTATTACGCATGATGACGCAGCTACCTACTTGAACTACGTTTACCATTTACTTTATTTCACTTGCTGGAATGATGCCACTTTGCAAATATCCAATGCACACTACCCTAAAACCCCCGCACAGATTAATTCCCCAACATAATGATCTTAATTGGTATTAAGAGTAAGCTTCATGGTTCGTTTATGCACACGTTATAATCAAGGGACATTGTTACTCATAGGGCTCTAGTTTCTAAGGGGCAGACTGTGAATGAACTACCTTTTTGATCTGTGTAGCTACATTTTCCATTTTCTTTTCTCACCAACAGAAAAGTTATCTGTATGTGGATCCCAGACAGAAATTTAAGATGACAGTTAGCAATGATTTTGAGAAACCGTCATTTAAAATGCCTGGGAAAACAAACTGTCAATTCTGTTTTCATGCTGTGCCTGTAATAATAAAACCCTTAAGCTATTCTGTTTCCTGTTGTGAGGGATGATTAAGTTTCAGGACATCATTTTAAAAACAAATCCTGCAATACGACATGCTTTGCATTTCTCAAGCACTACCATAATCTGGACCCTTGTACAACATTCTGGTTAGATCTTAGCTTTTGTTTTTCTGTCAATGAAGATGCTTTTCTTGCACATACAATTAATAGACATCAAGATGCAGATCCTTTATTTATGCACAAGTAGCTTATTTATATATTACACGAAAGCAGTTATTTCTAACAATTTCACTTTGATATGGAATTGTTAATGAACTGGGGGGGGGGGGGGGCAGAAGTTTCATATAGATGTGGATTATATGGAAAGATGTGAGACAGAAGAGGGAGATGCAATTAACCACTGCTTTTCCAGACTGAAACTGTTCCCAAATAAAGTTAAAGTGCACTGGTATTCGAAGAGAACTAATATAAAAAGCCTCTCGACAGGTTGCTCAGCCCAGGAAGAGACAGAGTACTTTCATTTATAATCACTCTGCATCCACTCACCTGAGTATTTTGCAGGATGGTTAACAGCTCTGTACTAAACACAATGAGGGCCCTGATAATATAATTATTGTTTTTAATTTAATATCCATTCAGTTGCTTTTAGGCAAAAGTTCAACAATTTTGATGTTGTATGACTGGTTTTCAGGGACATAGATCTGTGACTATAAGCGTTTTATTTTACAAAAATACTTCACATGTTTTTAACACATCTTTAAGTAACCACAGCTCAGATCTAGACAAAGAGTATACATGTAGCACGAACAAAGACATGGTATTACAGGCTAGTAGGAAGAAGGTGTATTTTAAATATAAATGCAGGGAGTGGACTAGAAGAAGAAATCTATAAAGAAGACCTAAACCTGTTTTAATTCATTTCATTCATCATCTGTAGAGTGCTGGGAAGCAAAAAGTACAAGACTGCATGGATGTATTTAAAAACATAGAATTTAAATCAGCAGAAGTAAAGCACAAATCATAAAATGTCCTTGTTTTACCATGTTTGGAATCACGTCCAATTTTGATCACCATATTTCAAGAGGGTTATTGCTTTTAACTGGGCTTATTTCGCTTAGAAGGGTGAAGAATAAGTGTAAACATGATGTAGATATTTAAATGATCAAATCCTAAAAGGTAGTAAAAGTCAATCCAGTGGACAAACTAAATGTTAAAAGAATGCAGTGTCATTAAGTTTAGGACCATTCAAGAAAAAAAAGGCAATTTCTAAGAGCTGACTGCATACTTCTTGCCAAACCACATTTATTTTTTTTACAAATGTATTGAATACTAAGATAAAAATCAAGGTTAAGTAAGATGTGAACCTGTTGACTACAAGCTATTTATAAGGGGGAAAAACATGACATTTTTCTTCCAAAAGGACATCTAGTGGTGCTGCCAATCCAACGGACAAACCTCGACTTAAAAATAAAAAAGTGCTAATTATAAGCAAAAATATCTCCACACCCCTGCTAACAGGTATAGGTAGATCTCTAGGATTAGTCAAGAGAGTGAGAGAAGATACTCCATTGAGCAAGGAAAGTTCATGCAGACAGATTAGCAGAAACAACACAAGAAATACATACGTAATGATCTTCTGCGCTTGTTCTTCAATTTCCTCCTCTTGTTCATGCCAGCTTTAGAGGGTGACTCTTCCTTCACCTTGGGTTGGCTGGACACTTTGGAAGAGTTCTGTTGGCTGAAGTGAGTTGGGACATGCCGGGCCAGACCCCCCTGAGAGGCAAAACTGGCATTGCAGCCGCCTACCACGCACTGCGGAGAGTGAAAGGAAAACTAAATGACTTTCAAGACGTAAGACTAATCGGCACCAGGACACAATTGGTAGGCACTGCACCATACAGAAAGCCTACTGTGGAAAATCTTAAAGCATCTGTGCTTTCTATGTAGTCAGACCTCTTTGTGATAAACTAATTAAGAACATAGGAAAAAGTTTGTTACTTAAATGTTCTGGATATAAAAGATTTGACCACATTTTGCAACAGGACACATAAAGAAACATAAAACTCAAAGGAAAGTATTCAAACCATAATTTTTATTGTTAAGAACACAAAACATAAGCTGTGCAACTTAAAGATGTATGATTATGATTTGTATGCTTAGTAATGGCTGCATGGGTGTGTGCACGTATTTGCTCCAAGTACAGAATCATCATCTGGCAAAACGTTTGCATATAATCTCACAATGTGGGCTCTGTAATGAAATCGTTTGACATTAATCCATTTAACTAAAAATGTTTTAAAACAGGACAGTTAGAAAAACTATTTTAAAGATGCTACATGTGATTAATGACATGATTATTAATTTTGTGTAGCATGTGGAGGTTGAGAGGGTTCTGATTCATCGTGACCATTGCCAGAATTGTAAGTATCCATTCACTGGCTTCTCTCCATTATATCAGATGGAGGATTTTTAACCTGGTCATTATGTGACAATACACAATAATTGGAAATGAAGATACGAATCACTTTAAACTATCACTTTATGGGGATTCAATATCTATGGATTAAAATGCAACCCTGAAAATGTGTGCATTATAAGTGGGGTATTATTATAGGCCAGGCTTATATATACAGTGGTTAAAATCTCTGCAGTAAAGTCTGAAGGTAAAATAGTATCTGGTGTTATCTGAGTGAATGTATACCTACAAGAATTCAATCCCACCATTTACCATATCCTTCTTGCAGGAGGCAGGAGAAGTCACTGAACAGATCTTTATCATAGTTCCTTCACAAAGACAATTTCTTTTATAATAAGTCTTGGCAAACCCTACACAAAATAAAGTACATCATCCGCTAACAATTTGAAATGGTCACAATTAAAGAACTCGTAAGGAAAAAAAAAGGTTATGTTGTCGTTCTTCAGACTGTTAAAAATGAGAACTAAAGCAGCATTAAAACAGATCCCTACCTACCTGGCTGAAATCAACTCCCCTGACATGTTTTTGGCTTGCAGGGTCGCAAGTTGTGTCTAGTTGTGTCTAGTACCGCCTCCTCCTGAACACCTCTCACATAGAACATACTGCCTTTGAGCATCGCGCTGGCAAGGTCAGGTCGGGGATACTGAACTGATAACTGCCTTTAAAGAAATCCGTGTCCGCAAACCCACGCTCCTTCACGCTAATAAGCACAGTACTGCTAATTTCATGATTTTTTAACTGCAGTGAGGAAACCCAGTACCACATGAAAATGTTTAAAACTCTCAATGCTCCAAGTTTGTCTTCCTACCTTGAAAGGCTTGTCTCCGCTGTGTGTCAGCATGTGCCTCTGTAACCAGCTCTGACTTGTGGATGGCGTTTTGTATACTTTGCAGCCTTTCCATAAACAGACGAAAACCTGCAAGAACAGAAAAAATGAATGAAGAAAAACAAATACCGCATCAACCTTTGTGCCAGCCAGCCAGCTATTTCCTATTATCTGCTATTTCAGTGTCGGAATTCCGAGGTGGAAAACACAAGTCCTTTGTTTCAAGTTAATACTAAGAAAACAGATGTCTGCAAGCCTCAAAACTCGCTTGCCTCAAACAGAACAAGCACAACTGTTTTCTAGAGTTCTCATAAAAACAAGCCAATGCTTTTGAGAAGTAATTAACACTGTGCTAGACAGTATAGTTAAATTGATTAATTTTAAGTTGAATACAAAACAGCAATTGATTAATATATTGCATATTCAGGGATACAGGTGATATACTGTAGATTCAACTACAAACATCACCTGCAACATTTGTGCTGGTACTATATATCTCATCACCTCATACAGGTGATATTCTAGCTACTACAGGGTCAAAAGTGTATCTGTTAGCCCACAGAGTAATTAATGAACTAACAAAATGATGTAAAAAAGTGATCATCTAGAGGGGATTTTCAAAACGCTGTAAATGTTAGAGGAAATATGTACCTATTGGGGTAGAAAATAAATATTTTTCTTGGCATTATTGACCTACTTTACTTGCAGTTTTATCCAAGATGACTTACATTAATACAAAAACCTGTAACATTTTTTCAGATTTTTCATCATTTGCACATTTTCTTTGAAGAGCAAATAACTATTGTTTATATATACATTTTTAAAAAAGCAAATGCTAATTCATTCATAGAGGTTTTGTTGATAAACAAATGTACAAGGCTATGAACTAGACAGTAGGCATACAAATTGCGAGACCACCTTGTAATCTTTCTCTGAAGGGAACACTGCCCTCATTTACGCCTGGATTCAATATCCATGTTGACTTACATATGTTTGAATGTTCTAAAAACTCCAGACACCACTTATTCACATGACAATATTACACACGATGTTGTAGATGGAAAACTGCTTTAAAAACAAGAGAGAATAGGTTTGAAATCAAGGAGAGGGCAATTATAAGGCTCCTTTAAACAGAGACACTATGAGACCAGATATCACAGCTCCTACCACGGAAGGAAGCCGACACAATATGTAAGTTTGTACAGTATGTACAAAGATCTCACAAATGAGAGTTTGTCATTTTTTTACGGGATGTTTTAACAACATACAAATATGCCTATAATATTAACCGCAGAAAGAGACATGAAAGTCAACTATTTATACTTCTAAAATCTGAACCAGCCTACTACCTGCTACCTAGCAACAGCAGAATCGAAGCCGGTTAAAATGAGCCAAAATGATCAAATGGTATATGTAAGAGCTGTTTTTAATTTCCAGTTGCAATGTTTGGTATTTCAGGTCTTATTGTTAGAATCATCCTGCAGAGCAACAGGACACATCTATGTCATGCACATCCACACTAGAGGTTTTCGAACCCTTTTCCAATAAAAAAAATAAATAAAGAGCTGGAAGGAAAGGACTCTGAGCTGCTGTTGCTGTGGGGTGGGAGGGACTCGCTCTGCCAGGCAGCAGTGTGCTTCCATTTCGTTGTTTTGATGCACAGGATCTCCTGCGCCGCACTGGCCTGGGGGAGCAAGCAGGTCCTGCATGCAGTCTGTTTTGCAACAGCAGACGTGGACATTGGACTCACACACTTTACCGAGATCTGCGAGTCCTTGGCGACTACTGGATTTTCAATCTCAAAAACAACAAATGAACAATGCAAAAGTGACCGTGGTGCTTAGAGTAAATGCAAAGCAAATATAATTATGTGTAATTGAAGGCCACATTTTTTTAAACTAAGAAGTCCTTGTATAACAAAAGACAATTTTTTCGGTGAATACATTTCTTAAGACTCCCTAATGGCTGGAAACACCAGCAATGTCAGGAAAACATGTCCTTGGATGCATCTTTTTTAATTAATAAATTACAAATCAACTGTAGACTTGAACTGAAGTATTTGCTGTACTTCAGTTTGATTTGTAAGTCACATCATGATCTCACACGACACTGTAGGCAAAGCAATGAGTCGATAGATGTATTATAAAAAATGCCCTAGCGACAATGTCTTCTGAAGCAGAGTTAGTCTCATGGATGATATAATTCTTCACACTAATGAAAGAATACCAGATAGCCAGCCCTAAAAGAGGCTCATTACAGTAAATATTGATTTAAAGCTCCATAATGACTAAACCTACAGAATATTACATATAATAATGTCCTTTATCCAAATACTTTAAGCGGTATTTGTTATGAAACTAAAGACACCCTGAGGGGGATTAGCAATTTCTCTGTCGATTGGCAAACAAGTTTAAACCTGCAAATCCGCATTTTGCATTAAAAAGCATCTTTCTGCTCATATGTCAATAAAAAAAAAGATTAGACTTATTCAAAAGACAGGTGACACTCCAATCATCTTAAAGCACTGTAAATAGCTATCACTCAGAGAATCAAAAGAGAATAAGTCTAGTATTCAAAGTGTCATGACTAACACAAGACTATTAGAGGATGCAATGAATTGAACGTTTCCTATGTTAACATGGCATTGATCCACCATTTGCACTTTATGAGATCACGGCATGCTGCACAAAGTAGCCTAGCTTTAGACAGCCAGGGGTCTGCAAACTTGTGGAAGGGGCGTGTTAGGAGTTATCTCATCCACTTATAGGCCGGATCCGAGTGTCACTGACACATTAACATCAATATGCTCCCTACATGCATTTTGACTAAAATGATCCAATACTATAACAGGATATATAATTTAAAAAATGTAATAATCTGCATTAAGATACAGATCTTACAGTTCAGTGTGTTTCTTGCCCTTGCCTTTTCCATGCTGAATACTCCAATCTGAGGCTTGATAAGCAGCATGAGCTTCTGAGTGTTCAGCTGTTAATTAGCTCTGAGAGGAATGTAGTTCCAAGTGCTGCGAGCAGTGAAAATGACACTTTCTTCAAACGTTTACATTTCCAACCCTGCAATCTGGCTCAATAGCCTCAAATGTGTGTCGCAGCTGCCTAAACGTCAAGGCCCATTAAAATGCTCAGATTTATTAAATTTCAAAATTCCTTCACACTTATCCATCGAAACTGTCAAATCAATGTTCCTGGTATAAACGTTGTGTGGCTTGATCAGAAACGAAAACATAATGCCCAAATGTTGAAAATGCTGAAATCCGGTTCAGGCCAAATTATTGAAACCGGCTGTTTCACTAAAGCAGCCCGTTTTGAGTGAAGTTCTGACAGTGAATTTCTTTGTTCTATTTTTGTGGATGCCACGAGGATAATGAATCATTTTTTTAACTTTGTTTCATATAATTATTAGATATTTCCTCTAACAAATTTCTATCTTGCTTCAGCTGGTTATGGACACATACTGTAACACTCATCTGTGCCTCCCACTCCGGTGGGAGTTTTTGCATGTACATTCCAATCTCAGCAACCCTGATGGTGTGATCACCAGTTTTCTAGTTTTCTAGATAGTTTTCTAAGATGCTAGAAATTGCAGAATGTCAAGGTGTCAATGTCCCGAGAAAAAATGGCCCGTTTTGTACAAAATGCCTTCCATGTTTCATAATAGTCCCATAACAATTTGGTCTTCACCCAGCAAAGAGAGGCTGAGTTCATTGAGAAGTGTGGTTAATCTCAGCTACAACATCGACATCCCACTTGTCATCATCAAGTTTGAGGTAGTTTTCGCCTGTATCTGTCAAAAAGAGCTTGATAGCTCGAGATAATCCACAAGCGTGTCAAAACCTCCCCACAGCTTCTCCAACGAGCACTGCTACAACGTGGAATGTCCCTGTACAGTATATACACTGTCCATCTCCTGAAGCAGAGCTTGAAGCTGCCTGTATCGTAAGGCAGATTGAGCAACAATTACATTTACTACAATGGACATCGCAGAATTAGAAATCTTGGCACAAAGATTTTCTTGATGAACAATACATGAAATATAATTAAAACCCATTGCGGGCCGGCCAATTTGATCTTCAAAAATCCCTTTGGATTTTCTGGTGATAGCAGGGGTGCTGCAAGTTGCAACAGAAAATATTTTCCTGTTGCCAGTATCTCTTTCCTCAAAACGATTCATACGTTTCTGTGCTACATCTTCCGCTGCTGCAGTACAGCGCATGAATTTTAGGTAACATAGCTCTTCTCGTATTCCAGGTCAGCATTGCTAACTGCGGTACGTGATGTATATCCACACACGCCAATCACAACACAAAATTGGTCAAATCTTAGCATATTCCTAGCATCACTTCATCTTTTAATGCTACCATCTGTTATTCAGCCATTCTGTTTATGCTTGATAAACAGATCTAGCAGACTGTGAATTTTGTTCTGGTGAATATTGTTTCATTGGGCAAACCATTAAACAAAACACCTGAACAACCGAGAAAAATCTCTTTTATATATTTATTGTCTGTAAATGGCTTTCCATGTTCTGTAAAACTTTGTGCGATTTTGTAGTCAGTAAAGACAGCGCTTCTCTTTTCCAAACGTTGCTCTAGTCCACTCAATTGACTCAACCTTGTCCAACTCACCCTTGAAGTGTTTCTTGTGCATTGAATGAAAACGTCACTAGAAGCTTGATGTGCGACATATAATGCTCTCACAACACAGACCACAAACGGTCATTTTGTTGAACACATATGCGTTTTTCTCCCCAGAAAGGCTGTAATTAATGAACATCTAAATTTGGGCTTTTTTATTAACCACCATTTTTGTCAAAAACATTAAACTCTTCGCTCAAGAGTGAAAAATGTGATCAGCGGCACACATCACAAGCTTTCCCGTGAAAGACAGGCTGGTCCCACTAAAAGGAATTCAGTAAATAACCAATACAGCTGTTTTTGTTTCTGCATCAAAGGGCCAAGTACAAGACCAAGAGTTTTCATTAGGTAGCATAATTCAGAGATTCAAAGACAGTCAAAGTACTTATCTTTGTGTTTTTTCTTCCCTGCTTATTATTCCTTCAATGGTTACACCACTCAATAACTTTGTGTCATACGTTACCAGCCCCTGAGTTGGACTTGTTAACAGCCACCAGCCTCCAAGCTACAGACATACAGTAACTAGCCCCTATATTAAACACACAAAGTCAACACAGTGAAACTGCCCAATTTTCCCAAGGCATCCATCTAAAAAGCAACTTTTCTGTATTTTCCCCACTTAGATTTTGCATTTCCCATCACCACACCTTTGTGATCAATGTAGATTAAAGTGAGCCTCTTACAGTGCCATGACAAAACATGAAAGGCATTCCAACCTTACAACAGGTCGCCCGGCTTGCAGGCCAGTGCTTAGGGGACTGTGCCTGTGATGACAGCCTGCATGTGGTCTGAACTTTGAAGCATACTGTATAACATACACAGCATATTCTTATTAAAAAGCTTCACCCACAAAAATGCAACATGAATATATAATAGGTCCTAAAGTGTGCATTTTATACATTTACAAATGTATAAGTAAGAGATGCATACCATCTGTAAGAATTTGAAAGTAATTTGCACTCAACCCGAAACAAAAATACTCTAGTATTTTGGTAACCTTGAAGGATTTACCAAAGTCTCCAACTGTACAATTTGGAGCCTTTTCTGGTACAAACCAACTAACTTTTCCCCTTTAATTAAGCTTTAACCTCGATCCACTAAGAAGTAAGATGTTAACTTATATGTATTGCCAATTTCTAGCTTCTTGTCATATACGATTAGATTTGTGGGCAGAACAGAAATAGCCAAAAGAAATGAGGGATATTATTCTCCAATTTGCATAATTGTATTTTTCTATCCAAACCACATATAAAAGGGTAGAGGCTTAGCAATGGTACACTTTAATATTTTAAGTTAAATAATACACATAATTATTGCCACAGGAGTTATAGTGACTAACTTTACAGCCACATAATATATGGGGTAGATTTAACTTTCATGTATAGCTTAGAAAATATGTACAAGTTAAAGACACCAAAAGCAGAGCTCAGAAAAAGGGAGGAAAACACAGTCCCAAGAGAAAGCACACTTGGCTAATAGGATCTTAGCTTTATGTGCCTGTGAAAGGAAAAAGGTTGAGTTAGATACATATTTACCCTCATTTCGTATTACTCTCTTAATGCAGTATAAACATTGGACTATTTTAGATGTTTTTGCACCTACACACAATACAAACAATACATAGAAAAATGGAGAATGCTCCAAGTTCTGCCTGCAGAACTAATTAACGTGCTTTCAATGAAATGGCAGGCAAAGATGAGTGCTGTGTGTCCATAATCAGCTGAAGCAAGATAGAAATTTGTTAGATGAAATATCTAATAAATATATGAAACAAACTTTTAAAAAATGATTCATCATTCTCATGGCATCCACAAAAATAGAACACAGAAATTCAGTGTCAGAACTTCACTCGAAGCGGACTGCTTTAGTGAAACAGCCGGTTTCAATAATTTGGCATGAACTGGAATGCTAAAATACTTAAGATGGAAATAGTGTTGAAACGATGGCAGAACAGAGTCAGCCACTTCACAGGTAAGCTGGAAATTCATAATGTTTTGTTCATGACGGGAAAAGGATTTAAAAGATGTATCTGCCATCTGCATTCTGATAATTTTGCTTTCAAAGTTATTTTTCTCCTAAAGGAAAAATGCATTTGTCTATGTCAGTGGTGATGTATATAGGCGTTCTCCCCCGAAACAGCACTTTCCTCAACTGAAGCATGTTTCACCAGTCCTGCATTGCTCGGTGACTGTGCTGTAGAGGCTGAGAACATGGAATGAGTTTGGGAGACAAAAAAACGGAAAGCAAGAGAGAGACTGACCCCCCCTCTCTGTCTGTCCACATGGCTGGAGCGGATGTGCTCAGCCAGGTCGGGGCTCGAGTTGAAGCAGGTATGGCACTGGTCCCAGCAGCAGGTATAGGCAATGCTCTTGGAGGAGGGAGTGGTGCTGCCCTGTCCGTTCATCATGGCAGGAGTGGAGCGGCCGCTGGACACCGTGCTCTCCATGTCCATCAGGGTGCTGCTGATGCTGTGGAGAGGAGAGAGGCGAGTCACTAACTGCAAGCTGAAGCGGACTGCGGGCTCATGGACTTCACCACAGGGGTGGTAACAAAGCTGATTAGCTGCAGCCTGGCTCTGCCTCCATTGCGCTTGTAACCTTCTATTTGAATATCTGAATTAAGGCAAATGAGGTACAAAAAATACCAAAGCTTAGCTTCTTTTTTGCTCAAACAGCACAAGTGTTGTCAAATCGCAAAACCCAACATGGACCACCCTACCATGAATGTGAAAAACATTCACTTGTGCTAAATTTAAATCCTGTGGCTCATAATATTTAATGTCCTCCATCACTTGTGTGCCATGTTATATTGTGGAGACCTGTTTTGAATCATTTAGAATACAAACTGGACCGGTCTCAGTAGGTGCTTTTTCAGTGGTATATTAGCATTGAAGAAGCTGATGTGTGAAAAATGGACTGAACTCTATCCAGCTGACATTTCAGACATTTAACGTATTTCTATTCCTGCAGAGAGCAGAAAGCTTTAAGCGGGAGACAACACACTACAAATTAACTTAATTCGTGACTCAATGGCAGTACATGACAAAATAATATGACAATAAAAATAATCATACAATAATTCTAGTTTTAAGAAAAAAGTTTCAAATGACCAGACTACTCTTTAGAATCTACTACCTGGGGATATGAAACAGAGAAAATTGGGAATTGATAAATGCTTTTGCTTTGTAGATAAAAATGTTAAACAGTATTCTACTGATTTGATGGGTAAGACTTTAATTTTCCAGAAAATCAACAGACCTCAAAAGAAAAGCAAAAGGTATCAAGGTGGGTATGAAAGGCACAGACTTTGCCATGCCACTTAACAGCGCGTGAAAGAGATCTACAATGAGACCAACTTCTCACGCACTTCATACTTGTGCCATTCTTACAAGAGTGCCTACTCGCCAAATGCACATTTCCTAGAGGTAGTAGGTGCTAGTTCACAATGAACTCCACACTGTATTTTAAAGAACACGCCCCTTCTCTTTGACGAGGATCAAGTTCAGAAGCTTCAGCTCACACAGCTGTTGGATGTATAATCACAGGATTACACACACAATGTTGAAAGCACAACAAAAGGCTTTTCTAGCTTTCATGGTGAATGGGTGTGTACTGCCAAAATGCAATCCTAGGTTAAATATCATTTAACAACCATTTAAGATGCTTTCCTTTGAAATATTATACATTGTATGAAAGGCAAAGAGAAGATACCAATGCTAATTCACCATTCATAGCACACGAAAGAAAGTTACCTGGCATTCAAGATATTTAAGGGAAGTCATGCATCTATAACATTGCGAATTTCAATTGTGCACGTTTAACATTTGCAACAGGTTTGAAGCGGCTTGAGATTAAGACTTACAGAAAAGAGTAAGCGGGGGTTGGTTCTCCTCTCCGAGACAAAATACCACCAATTGAGAATACACCCAAGACAGGTGTCAGGCGGCCTGCCAGGCTGGACTGTTCCGCGAGGTCAGACGCTTAGATCAGAGGTGGCCCAAGCAAATGGGCAGAAATTACTTGCAGAACAAGGCAGGAATTGTTGCAAAGGCACTAATTCCCTTGTGTAGAGTCTAGAGCAGGAAGACACTGTTAGGTCAACAGCTGCTCACGTACATCAGAGGCAGCAGGCTGGATTAGTGGACTGGGATCTGAACTGGTCACTGAAAGGTGTGGATTCAAATCCAAGGCATGACACTATTGCTGTATCCACAAGCATCTTATTTCACAAGGAGTTTCTTCAGTAAAACGCCAAGTTACATGAAAAGGTACAAATGAGATGCTCTGGCTAAATTAAAAATGGATTCTCTAATGTGTAAGCTAGTTTACTAGCTTTCAGACAGCACTTATTACTACTTAGCGAGGAAGGTAAAGAGTCTCAAGCATTTTCACTTTCTGAAAACAAAAAGTAATCATATCAGTTCCAAGAATAATTTCACATATGTTGACTTAATATCTCCATATTATACGGCTTGATCTATGTTTGAAATAACAGTTATTTGCATCCTTCCACATTTTCTGGTCAACAGATCCATTATCTGCTGAAACTGCTGTAACTACATTTATGGTGTCCAGCCTGACATGAGCTCTGTTGTCAGAATACAGTTAGCTTGCTCACTTTGGATCTCATCTAAAGTATCTTTTCAAACTAAAAAAAGATGCTATGGATCAAACCTATGGCTACGTACTCTAGCAAATACAAGTCAGCGTGTTTCAGGAATTTTCCTGTCATGCGTGCAGACAAATTTCATTTTCCAATATCAAATCCCTTCATGTTCTGCCGGGTGTGGCCAAGGGGATCGCAGTTGCCCACTGGGACGTGAACCCCACACAACCGGCTGGTCCAAACTGGCGGAGTAAAACAAAAAGTAGAAAAAAGCAAAGGCAATGATGTTGTTGGCAAGGTGCTATGTGTGACCTTGTCTGATTTTTTTAACCGGCGTAGGGAAGGCTCCAAAATATTACCGATTTCCAAGCTAACTTTCTTTTTCACAAAAATAATAGGTCAAAGTTCATATATGGCTTTGAATTAAAGTGACCAATCAGACTTACTCAGTTGAGGACTAGAACCGTCACAGCCTACTGACTTCTCGGTGATTTACAAGCCCACAACATTCTACAATGGACACATGTAGGAAGTTGTTTGTTACTATCTTCTGAGATAACCTGTAGTGTATACATCAGGTTTTATTCTACTCAGCCACACACTTTCAGACAAAACATTATTTCAACGTTTTTTGAAAAAATCCAGTACAGTGCCTAAACTATATGACCAACCGAACTGGACTAAAGAAGTCTACATCTTGGACATGAGACTTCATGTGCACCAAGTTGAAGCTTTGTTTCTACTGAAAACATGCATAGAGAAGCCACATCATGTGCCCAAACTGCACGACCATGACCACTCAGTCTGAGTTCAACATTCTCTGCAGACCTACATGAAGCTTCAGGAATCTGGAATCTGGCAAACTGTACTACCAAGATATAATCCAATGGTAATATACAAATAACCCAGACCCTGAAATTGAATGGCTTATGCCAGCCATGTCTAAGATGGAGACATACTATGAACAATTCTGTCTGATAACAGGGCCTACTTTATGTGTACCATGTAGCAGATCATTCTGCCACAACCTTCTAGTCAGAAAGGTTCGGGTGTTTCCAGTCAAATCCAAGATGGCAGCCAAACCATATGACCAGCTGAAGAGTCATGATGACCGACAACTAAGTATCTTATATGTTGTGGTCAAGTTCCAGAGAAAAAAACATTTTCGAAATTCATCACATTTTAGGCGAAAATACTATACGACAGGCAAAGCATGTGACATGATGTCATAATTTTCACAGACACCATCCTGCCAAATTTCACAAGTCTGACAGCTGACTGAAAAACTATTATGTGCACTGAGGGCACTTGAAAACCCCACAGATGCTGTGAAGATGACACTGTAAGGCCATGCTGCAATGAGAGGACAGCCCAATGTTATATTCTGATTAATTAATATGGCATGCTATGTAAAAGTAATTAGTAGTGCAACAGCAACATAATCGTGTTTTCTTACAATTATGGACTAAAAGCTATTAAAGACAGTTCATATACTGATAAGTATGCTATTGACAAAAAGATTTCTAATTAGAATTTGTTATACTGTAAAAACAAAACCGTTACCGAGGTCAAAGATTTAAGATTTTATTGAATACGTTCTGTACCTCTAAATGCCCTTACGCCGACAATAGCCCTATTTTTAATTCTGCTCACATTTTTTAAAAGATGCAGGCCAAGGTCTTCTAGCCACATTCCAGAAAAAAGGAAAGGCACTGATCTGAATCTTTGCTTGGGTAAACTTGAAAATGAAGACAAATCACTGTTTTTAAGGACAAAGACTACAAAAAGTGTCTTGCCAGATGCATGCCAGAGGGTAAAACAGTTCTAGGAATGAGTTTCTGCCAGTCGCTATGCTGCCTGTGTTACAATACAACCCCTTCAACACAAAGTGATAGGACTGTGCTCATGCTCATACAGAAATAGCTTCAGTCAAAAATGAGTGAAAATTGAGAGCTTTAAGAGCCACAAGTGTTTCGTTTACACTAGTCCAATTGCATTTAAATCTTCAACCTAGTGTTCATCTCTAATTAAAATAGATAGGTCTACACCTTTGTTCCTTGCCAGAAGTGATGTTATGCTGCATGTAAAATAAACTATAATTTGCCGGCTTCCTTACAAAAAGCAAATTATGAAATAAGAACTGAATTTAAAGATGAAACGATTTAAGTGCACATTTATCATACATTTCTTACGGTCTCACACTCGAACAATGTGTGCTCAGCTGAAGCCATCTGTTCAAGGAATCTTGTTCAAAATATCAGAATACTTATCATAAATCTACCTTCACTTTCTGCTGCCCAATTATGCTCATCACTTTCACACAAAATTACACAAAACCATAACGGGTCTAAAACCTGTGACATTGGTAAAAATAAAAGGAAAAGGTGTTCATCCAACAATACAGTTCAGTCATAAAATAATACACCCAGAGGTTACAGAAGCAAAACATACGGACTTATTTCTCATTCTCAGCAACTCAAGAAATTAGGCCGAAATAAGGCCTTAATGCAAGTTGGAGATTTAGATAAATGATCTCATATCACAATCTACATGACCTAAACAATGTAATGCTGCTATCTATACTTGTTTAGACTTTCATGCAACTTTGGGAGTTCTGATTGTTTCAGACTGTGTGCCAAAGGTATACAAATGGTATCCGTCTCCGTTTTCACCAAATATTTTTATGACTTAAACTAAAATAAAGCTGCATACCCCTAAAGTTAAAAAGAGCTCAGTCTTGTTTTATGTTTCCAGGGTGCTTCTCACACTCCATGTGAAAGGAAGTCACAACAGCCAGTGAGAATCTTGAGCAGAATGCAGTGTTCATTCTTGGAGCTCCTAAACAAGAGGCTGCAGTGCTGAC